ACAAAAAGGATGTGGCCTTTTTCTGGTGTTGAAGACCTATAACATTCCTCTGTGTTGCTGATTTCCTCCCTCAAATCATCACCTGTATTAGCTCATTTTGATCCAGCTGCTAGGACAGAGCTTCGCACCGACGCAAGTGACCATGGTATTGGTGCAATTCTCGGCCAGGTACATAATGTTACAAGCCGTGTGATAGCCTACGCTGGTCGTCCTCTGTCGAAGACGGGAAAAATATTATTTCATCAATGAGTGGCAATGCTTAGTGTTTCGTCTGGGCCATTGCGAAATTCCATCCGTACTTATGCAGACCTCAGTTCGCAGTCATCACAGACCATCATGCACTTCGCTGGCTGTCCACACTTAAGTACCCTAAAGGAAGACTCGGCCGTTGGGCACTACGATTACAAGAGTACACACTCTGGGTTGTGTACAAATCTGACAAGCTGCACACTAATGCTGACTGCTTATCTCGGCACCCTGTTGATCCACCCAACTCCATCGATTTGGAATCAGATGCCTGCATCTTGGCCATCACTGACTTTCTGCACATGGCGGACGAACAACGTCGAGATCAATCGCTGCTCTCCATCACTGACCGCCTCCAACCGGACAACATTGATCCTTCCCTTGGCAGATGCCTGCTTCCAGACAAGATTTTGTACCGTCGCAATCTACACCTCAATGGCGCGAAACTTTTACTCGTCGTGCCACATCACTTGTGCAAGGATATTCTACAACAATTACAACGCTCCAACTTCAGGACATTCAGCCGTCCCTAGAACCTACGACCGTGTTTGACAAAAGATTTTCTAGAAGGGTCTTTATCGCTCCGTTCGCCGTTACGTTGCAGCTTGCAAGCTCTGTGAGCGCCTAAAAAAGCCTACAACAACCCCTGCTGGCCTCCTTCAGCCTATCCAAGTGCCAGCCGAGCCGTTTTATCGAGTGGGGGCTTGACTTGCTAAGTCTCTTTCCCACTTCGACAAATAGAAACAAATGGGTTGCCGTAGCCACTGATTATGCCACACAGTATACAATCACTCGAGCGCTACCGACCAGCAGCGCTACTGACGTTACCGACTTCCTGCTCTACGACATCATTCTCCAGCATGGCACTCCGTCTCACCTGCTCACAGATTTTGGTCGCTGATTTCTACCTCGCGTTGTTGATGATCTACTTCAATGTAGTGTTACCCATCACAACTTCACTACGCCTTACCATCCTCAGACTAATGGCCTTACAGAGCGCCTCAACTGCACACTAACAGGCATTCTTTCTATGTACGTATCTAGTGACCACACTGTTTGGGACGTAGCTCTGCTGTTTGTCACCTTCGCCTACAACTCGTCGTGTCATGAAACTGTGGGCTACTCACTGTTTTAATTACTCTTCAGCCGTCATTCCTTACTACCCTTCGACACCTTGCTTTCGTATGACCAATGATCCTCCTTTTCGTACGCTCAAGATGCTGTCACCTGTGCTCTCATGGCACGCACAGTAGCCCGCACTCGATTATCGTCCTCGCAGAGCACACATAAGTCTCTTTACGATCGTCGACATAGGGATGCCGTTTTATTCTGCAGGCTCTCTTGTTTTTCTACGGCTTCCATCTCGACGTGTTGACCTCTGCTAGAAATTATTATCGCGCTACGTTGGGCCCTACAGAGTCATTCGTCAGCTCACACCTGTCACTTATGAGATTTCCGTGACAACAAACTTATCGGCTGCTACACCCAGAACTGAAGTAGTCCATGTTTTTCGTCTTAAGCCCTACAATGGTGACTAGCCGATTTAACAGGCCCCGAGACTGTGCCTTACCGGTCGGTGTAATGACACAGGTATGGAACTGCGACTCCGGCACAAGTACTAAAATGATACCTAAAAGGAGGAGGAAGACAACGTTGTTGTGGTTTGAACTTTCGAGCTGCCCGGTTGGTCTGCAATACTGCGCTCTCTGCACGGCGTTGGCTGATGCTGCCACTTGTAAGTGTGCTTCATGAACAGAAATCTTGACATCGACAAAAAGTGCGCACTTTAGACCAATGCAATCAAGCAGGGCATCGAATTAAGTGTAATGGAGCAGCGAGAGAAATGCAGCGAGCTATGTGCGGGTAAAAATATGGATGGCTCGGGAAGCAGGGATTTTAATTTGCGTACTGTAATACATAGCCATGTCATGCATTGAGGATTACTGATACAGTTGAAATGTGACTTAATGAAGTTGTGACCGTGCTCGAATTATTTCATTAAATTGGGAAAGTTGTGAAATCGGGAAAGGGCATTTTCCAGTCTTTTGAAATCTAAAATGGTAACTTGTAAAAGCCACTGCTGAAAGCTACCACGGCATTTTTGTTGTTAAAAAAGAAACGCCCATGCTCGGGCCGCCGGACATGGGGCCTCTCATATCTGGTCGAAATAAATGAAGTAGAGAGCCAACAACCAATAGCCACCACCACTAGCTTCATTTGTTGCTAAGAGCCCTGCTGGCAGTAAATTGAAGTCCATCATTTTGTGCATGGGCACGGCAGCTAAATTTTCAACACAGTAACGTAACAGAGCACGCCAAAAGAAACTCCCGTCTGTATTGAAATAAACTGCATTTTTTACTCATTATTTCCAGAAAAATTTCTTAAATTGGATTTAATTGATGACAACATTGAACCCTATCTACACCTGCCAGGGAATGGATCTCTCTTCATTAGATAGAGTTTTAACTGTAGTAAATAGAACAGGCATGCAGTGATGCATACTGTGGTCATTATAGGAAAGAGAACCGGCACACTGCTTCAGTAGTATAAAAGGCCCCAATCCAGTATGCATGTTTCACAGGAAGGCACAATAAAAAGAAACGAATACTAAGTAAACATTTATACCTTCGACGCAGCTTGAACGGAACAAGGCGATTTTACGTTTCTCGCAATCTTGAGAAACTACTCATGATGTGTGAAGTTTTCGTATAAACTTCAAGTAAGCAAATTTTATATTTATCGATATATCCAACTATTTTGACTTCACGTTCTGTGTATCCTGCTTTGAGTGTGCGTGTATTGTAGGCCTCTATGCCTGCATGCATTTCCATTCCAAGACTATGCTGTAAGGCACCTCAGGGGAGTAACATTTCTAGACCATTCAGACTACTTTGCAGAGGTAAAGTGCTTGGATCAACATAAAATATTTAGTTGTGAAAACAGTACTGATGTTACTGGTGAACCCATTCCCCCATCGTTTTCGACGGAGGCGAAAATTCTGTAGGCCCATGTGCTCAGATTTGGGTGCACGTTAAAGAACCTCAGGTGGTTGAAATTTCCGAAGCCCTCCACTACAGCGTCTCGTAATCATATGGTGATTTTGAGCCGTCAAATCCCACATATCAATAAAACCACTTCCCCATGATACCATGGGAAATAAGTCAACAAAGTGATCCAGGGTAATAGAAAGGCACAAGTTGTGCAACTGTGACGAGGTGAAAGCTGATGCTACCCACGCAATATACAGAAGTGAAGTTTGCGCAAATAAAGAATCGCAGAAGCTGCAAATCATCCCGGCGCAAAAAAAACTTTTTGACAGCTGATGCTGTCAAAGCTGTCTGCGAGCATGAACAGAACACAAAGATTAGGTAGAAGAGAGGAAGACATTCATCAAGTAAGCTTAAACTGTGCAAAGGCAACATGTAAAAACACGAAAGCACAGACTTCCAACTGTGTTAATTTCCCGAAGGTGCATGGCTGAAATAAGGGACAACCACATTAGTTTACCCTCATTATCATAATGAACAAGATAGATTTTTTAGATGGGCACATCAGGTCCTGTCCAGGCTTGTAATGTGCATGTGGCGTCGCTACATTTTTTCCAGCCTCATGTTAGATTACTTGTGCAACTGCTCCTTGTTAATTCTTATAAGTGTTCTATATTCAAGAAATGAACACATTTAGAAGTTTGCACTTTCTGCATGTGTGTTTGTACTTTTTTTTGCATGTGTACAGTTTAAACTGGTTTCCCAAATGCGTGAAACCACTCTCTCTCGATAACATGCCGTACTTCAGTCAGGGAGGCCAAACAGATGGCAAGCTGCCGCCCTAGCTTAGGGAAAAGAGAGCAGAAAGCTGCATCAAGGTTCCATGTGTGCCTGTTTTTTACATGTCAGTAATTCATCACTGAACCTGGTCGATTTTAAAAACAATGGCGATGCCGCTTCGCCTTGCTTGCCGGTGACGTGCAAGTCATGGTCTATAATGCATTTTTCTCTGAAAACACTATTGCCTAGCTGGCTCAACGCAATGTGAATGTCGCTTTTGGCGTAATTCACCCTAAACTACCGTCGGTATGTGTTGCATTGTCTCGTCACAGCTGCGGAAGCCATCTGGAGGAGGTTGGTTTATGGCGTTTGATGTCCCAAAGCAATTCGGGCTATGAGAGAGACAGAGGTGCGATGGGATTTGCAGCTTTCTTTATGCACTAAGTTTATGTACATGACAGTTCCAGAGGAACAGTGGCATTGCTATGCCAAGTGTACAACACTGTCTACAAGCGAATGAAGGCCCCTTACAGTGCTTGTGGCTGAGCTAGTTGGCACACAACTACAAGAAAAATCTAGGCACCTAGGCTCTACCAGTAGAAAGAAGCAGCGCCAGAAAAGAGCCTCACTTTTGCACGACATGTATCAGAGGTAATAAATGCAACAGGCAGTAGCGGCTCCATATCAGAAAGAGGAGAACAGAAAGCATTACCTACTACAGAAGAAATGTAACTTACCATAACTTATAGTTGGACCAGTTCATACCTAAATTTAAGAAAAATCTAGGTGCATTATCAGCAGAAAGAAACGCAAGAGTGTTAGGGTGTCTGTTCTTGCAATTTCTGTTCTAAACAAGGGCATTACCATTGTGCAGGGGCCCTTGTAAGCAGACTGAGTGGCATCTTCAAAAACGTCGTTACCAATAATGCCTAATACTGTGCATTGATTATGCAACCAAGTGATACTGTGCATTGATTATGACTGAAATTTATGACTGGCCAGCACAAAAACTTTATTGATCTCCACAAAGCAGCAAATTTGCAAGCATAAGGGGCTGATCATCCCTGGTAAAACTGCGGAATCTCGTCTCCTGTGAGGACTGAGCGCTCCACACCATCCTTAGTGATCACTCCTAGCCGCACAACTCCTCCGCTGCTGCCATCGCGAGCAATGGCCAGGGCGATTGCTGTGAACAGGCAAGAAAGAGAGAAAATAAACTTTTATTTTGAGCAAGCGCACTGTGCGCCCAGCTGGGCGACCTCTTTATTCCAGGTAACTGCGGGCATTTGCCATATTTCATGCCTGTTCAACCAGGCTTGAAAGGAGAAAAAAAAAATGCAGGCATTACTGGAATCGAGAGAAGTTTGCAATCCACATCACAGGTAATATACCCTTGTTTCAGTATGCCACACAAAAGCCAGGTCTAATACTTTACTGCTACCCCAAAGAAGAGACAATTGTTGCGTTATACTATACTCTCAGACAACTTCCTTGGCAGTGAAGGGAGCCTTACAGGGGCGGAGCTACTGCACATGCACAGAGAAATCTCGATACAACGAACCTGAGGCGACCGCTAAAAAAATCATTTGTTATTTTGAAAAGTCTTTGTAGTGAGAGTATTAAAATTTTGTGCAAAAATCATTAACGCAAGCACGGGAGTCGCATAACTCTGCATCCGCGATCGCAATGTGTTCTAATAAGCACGAAAAAAACAAATGCAAAACATTACGAAACCAGAGCACATTTATTTGAAAAAAGAGTTTGATCGTTGCCTGATGGATGCAGCTCGGCAGCCATTAGAAGCATTCGCATTACGTAACAATTCTTTGTGTTGGTTAGTGCGTGCTGTTTAAAAACTGTCCTTGCTCTTGCTGCAGTTTTCTTATGATATGAATATTATCTCTCATCAGCTAAGCTGAGGAGCATACTTCGACATCGCACTGTGCTTTGCGTTCAAATGTAGTGAAGCACGCTCAAAATGAATCATCGGTGCTTCGTCCCATAGGTCACCCCTGTCAAGATTTTCACTGTTGCCGAATTCCTTTCGTGCTGCTTCCGAAGCTCATCATGAACATACAACCATCAATCTAAAGGCAAGAAAACGGCCGTGTAACAAGCAGGTTAAGCTCCTTGACGAAACGAAGGTAACGCGGCGAAATGCCGAAACACTATTACTTTATGCTTCCTCTGTGTCTAATACCGAAACCTGATGAAAAAAAATAACACAGGTGATGGCAACAAAACTATCGCACATCTGAATAGGGTAGGTGCGAAGAAAAATATGTGGGCATTTCAATGATGATGATAGTAGCAGGTGCTAAGCTGTGCATTATTTCCACAAGGGCGAGTAACTTTATAAAATTGTTATTAGTTACATTGAAGTGTGGAGATATGAGGGCGATAAAATTTGACACGTCATTCTGAAACTTACAGTAGTGAAATATTTTTACATTAAGCTAATAAACATTTGGAGGGAGATTTCCGAAAAAGTTGGTAACCTGAAAAAAATCCGCTATAACGAGATTTGACTGTACTTCTTTGCAAAGTAGTCTGGTTCAGCTCTCATTTCAAATGACACTCGTGCCAGCTTAACAACATTGCTTATCATTTGCTTATTCCGCTAGACAGCAACTTGTAAGTGTAATTCGTCACAAGCTCTTCCCGCGAGTCGTCTTAATTGCTGTAGGGCAACAACTGCACAGCTTAAAGGGTCCTTCCTACAATATTAAACCACCCAATTTTTTATTCCTGGGTTGTGTAGACTGAAGTACAGACGAATGCAGCAATAACGGCAGTGATAACGACACACAATCTGAAATTATTCGACTAAGAAAATTGAAAAAACTAAAAAAAATGCCAACTCTCAACTCAATTTTCGTGGGGTCACCTGACCACATTTGACTCGCCAGTGACGACGGAGGGCTGCCGCAATGAAATAAGCTGAAAGCGCCAACGTAAGGGAAGCTCGCACATCACTGTTGCTTGTTTTTTTCCAAAGTAATGTTAACCCTGTTGCCAAAGTAACAAACGTGGTGAACGATGCCTGGCTCGCCAGAATGTGAGAGGAAGCTACTGTGTCAAGGCGAGGTATTTTCTGCCGTTTTTACAACATTCCCCGTCACTCTCTCCTCCTATTCTGAAAAAAGAGTTTGTGGGAGGACGAAAGCAGTGAAGTATTGTTGACCCCTCGCGAGTTGTTTGGTGAGCCGCCTGACGAACAACAATGGTGCATTGCACCCCTTCAACAACAATGAAGAACGTACCGGTGGTACCGAAAGAGGCAGCTTGCAAACTATGGAAGAGAGAGAGGGAGAGAAGCCTTTCGTATGGACATACGGCCCACGCAAACCACAAATCCGGAGGCAAAACGGTAGCCAGCGTCTCTGTCGTGCTTTGTAGTCGCAGTGATCTTTTTTTGTGGCTGCCGTGTCTGTTCGAGGCTCAATGAAAAAGCACAGAAAAGAAAAGTAAAACACATTAGTAACCTAAGTTTTGATCCCCAGCCACGAATGCTTCTAAGGTTACATTTCTCCAACCACAGGCCTCAGCCCTCCATCGTCATCTCCGCCAGCAAAGCTTCTGGCGAGTGCCACTATCTGCTGATGCAGTCAGCAGGGATGCAGTGATTTCGTGTCGTGAATTAAAATACTAAATCATTTGACATTAGCGCTTACACCAATAGTAAAATTATCCCCAGCCATCCCTCTAAGCAAAACACAAATAAAGATAGGCGATTCAAAAAGTGTTGGAAGGCCCCTTCAGGACAAAGACGGCATTTTGACTGCGAAGTGCACATATGTACATGTAACGTTATCACACTTGCAAAAATGCGAAAGCACAAATTCAAACGAATGTTTTTTTGGTTCATGCAGCATCTCTATATGAACAGGATTCCATAAAATCTAAAAAAGTAATTTTTTAATAATTTTCACATGGAAAACACGGATGCGATTGTGGGACTATGTTCTTTAGTGGTGGCACATGCCCTGTTTGGCTCGGTAGCCTTCCATTCATTGCCAAGAAAAGTTGCCCTTGACTAAAACAAAGCGCAACTTCAATTATACATACTCCGGTTTCGCAGCAACCCACATCTTACAACAAGTTGGTTTGGTCTACGGAAGATACCCATAGAAATAATGCATTAAAAACGTTCGTCATATGTCAAAATTTTACGCCAACCCTGCATCCTACGACAAATTTCCGATTCCATCCGAAAGAAAAAATCGTCTTTACTCGAATAGAATGCCGACCAAATATTCACGAGTGCAAAATAAAAACTTGCGTTCCCTACAGTTGACAATTAGAAAAGTAGAGACGTAGATAGGAAGTCTTCATGGCTGTGGTTTTACAGCCCAAAACAATGATTATGAGAGACACCGAAGCAGAGGGCTCTGAAAATTTTGACCATTTGGTGTTCTTTGAAAGGCCCGTCCCAATGTTTCACAATTTTGAGCTAATGAGTGAAAATGCATACATGGGGCGTTCACAATCACGTCTGCCAAAATTTGCAATGCTACGTGCCGCGGAAATGGGTCAAATTTCAAGATGAACGCTGCTTGCCCTTCCTTTCACGGGCGCGCGCCCCGAGAATGAAGGGATTACATAGACGACTGTGCTATGACGTTGCCAACAATAGCACGTGACAAGGCGAAAATTATTTCACATGACATGTGAAGTAAGTGTAATTTGCTGATTGAGTATATGAATAAAGCTCAAAATAAATAATGAGACACACAGAGGGAATGTGTGCATATTTTAAATTTTTTTTTTGTGAATTGCAATGAGATGAGCAGCTAATGTATACCTGCATTTTGCGTGCGTTCGTGTCCTTGTGGTTAGTGCATAGAGCAGGTGCCAGCCCCAAAAATGAAATTAGTAGTCATGCGCGTTCGAGCACTCGTTATGCTCATCTATTCAACCACGTCTAAGCCAGCATTTCCAAATCAGCGCACACTAAGGCATCCATCCCGCAGAAACAGTCAGTAGACCATAGATAATGCTGGTCAACAAAAGAACGCCGCTTGTGTGCTCGGCGATTGGGCTGGCTCGGGTGCGTCGTGTGCACGTGACGCCTTGCTCGGATGTCAGAGAGGGTAGGGAAGAGATTTGGCTTGCGAAGGCTCCGCGGGGTGAGCTGCAAAGGTTTCGAGCTCACTTCGTCCCACCAAGCTTTCGCATCGGTACAAAATAATGGTCTTCTCAGCTTGTAATGAATCGACTGAAAAAAGCCTTGTGGCATAATGCTCTTCACCGGAGACACAACAACTGCGAGTGTCCAACTAGAGTTTATTATGGGGCCTAGTGAGGAACCCTTTAATGTGCACCAACATGGCACAGTACACGGACTCCACCACTTCGCCTCCATCGAAATGTCACCGCCTAAGCCGGGATCGAACTCGCGACCTTCAAGTAAGCAGCGAAGCACCTTAGCCACTATTCCACAGAGTCGGATCGAAAATTTGTTTTCCTGGCATATAATGCACTTCTGCATATGCCTTGATCGCATTTGTATCGAGGTCGTTACCTAGACAAGTTCTATTCACACAGAGTAGCTTCAGCTGGCCGAAAAGGTCATGTACAAGATCCTAATATTTTCAAGCTTACGGTCCGTGGAAACTTTCCTTGGTTGACATACAGCTGATCAACACACAGCCTTGGTTTGTGGAACTCACAGTCACAGGCTTGAGCACCCAAAAGGGCGTGATGCAGCCATTTGCGCCATGTAAAAGAACTTTCACTTGACATCAACATTCATAATAACAGCGGAAAAACGCGCACGGCTCAGTAAGGCACGAAGGCATTCTAAACAAACTCGTGGTGGGTCATCATTATGTGATCGCATTAATACTGTCATGCAACAAACCATAGGCGATAGAAGTACTCGACATTATCTGCATGTGACATGGCTAAAAAATAGCAGCCAATAAATTGGAATGAGGTCAGATCAAACGCACATTTGCCATTAAAGCAATGAGAGACATGCACACGAAGGATATGATGTCGTGACGGCAATTTGCATATGCTTATAGACAGCAGAACAACTGCCGCAGTAGCTTAACTGGTAGAGCATCGGACATGTTATCCAAAAGTTGTAGGTTTGATTGCTAGTGGCGGCAAAGTTTTTTCATCTGCACTCCAACTTCATTTTAGGACTTTATAGACTCAAACTTCATGTTACAAGAAAATAAATTTGTTTTATCTGAAAATTCATTATAAAGGCATATTCCTAGCACTTTATCTATTGCAACACTATTCTTCATTTACTTCACTATAACCAATATTTCGTTATATCCGGGTTTGTTATGTTGAGGTTTGAGTGTATTTTCGTTTCTTTGCATATATATTATAATCACTTCACTACAGTTAAAGACTACAAATAATGTCCCTGATACTTTGCTTGACTTCGCTGTCAGTTGGTCTAATTAGGTTATTCCTACCACTTTGACATAACGATACTTGGCGAACCCTTCCATCGAGGTTTGAGCACTACAAAACAAGCTCACCGTTTTTGACAAAGTTGAGACACTCGTCCTTGCTCATGCCAGGCTTGTAGTTGGCATCCACGTAGCCATACAGATAGGTACTGCCCGAGCCACCCATTGCCACAGGCTGACGCAGCAGCATGCCTCCCAGTGGCACCATGTACACCTGGACGTATAGAAAGACAAGCAGTACTAATCTTAGAGACTCGCTTGAAGGTACAACAAAGAGAAACATGATTATATGGGTTAGTAATGTAGTGACAAAGAGGGAGACGATGAGTTTCTGTGGCTGCTGCTGATTGTTGAAGCATCGGTCACAGTAGCGTTTCAAGGAGCTGGCAACGTTAGGTTGTGAATTTTCAGACTGAAGCGAGGAATTCTAGGAACCTTCACCAAATGTTTACAACGATTTATATTATGAAGCAGCCACGTCTTAAAACAGTCGAGGTAGCATTAGCAGAACATTAAGCTAAATCATGCGCAGAACAACAGCCGCAGAAACTTGTCTTTGTCATCCTCACTGCAGTATTAATACATTTAGCCTCCCACGACACAATGGTGAGTGACAAGCTAAGGATAAAAAAATGAAAGCATATCCACAGAGTGAATGATGATAAGTGGGGCGAAGTGTTCGTCTGTCTGTGTGTCCGTCGATCGGTTTCTGTTGCACCTGACGCAAGACAACATTACACTAAGAGGAGCTTCTCCCCTAAAAGTAATGTGCACCACTGTTTATTTGTATTATGCACGTCCAACTGTGGCTTGCTATTTATTATGACGTAACAGTAATGATGAACCAATGGCGAATTCAGCAAGGCGCCGTTCTCGACGAGAAGCAATGTGACGCTGCACTGAGACCGGCCTTCATCAATTCGGTTTTCCTGTGGTGTTTTCTTCGTCAAGATGAAGCTATTGCCAATTGCCATCCGCTCGAGCTCCCCATCATTCTCACTGGTCGTCATTAGATGCAGACGTTTCTAATTGTGCAGTGTTTTAAGCGCACCGAAGTGGCAGAGCTTTATGGCGTTCCATAGTTTCAGCAGCGTGAAGCAGCAACAGGGCATCTTATTCCCTGCGTCGCTCAGATGCACCAAGCACATCGCCTGAGGGTGACCACTTTGAACTATTGTCATCGCAGTTATTTGTGTTTTGTGAAATGTGCGCGTCTGTCATTTTCCGCCCACAAAAGTCATGACCCCAGCGTTGCCACATGTGCTTGTACGAGTGTGTTACAGTCAAATTGTGTTATGGTGAGCTTAGAATTAACGAATATTTTCAGGCTAAAGTCTTTCAAAAATCCCTCCCAAAATGTCCATTGGTTTATTGTAAATGTGTTTCGCCACGACGAATTCAAGAATACTGAATGTTTGAGAATAACACATCGAATGTTATCCCGCCTATTTTTCAACAGCCCTTCAAAATAACGAATAGCGATTTTAAGAAGTTATTTGCGGCTATGGAAATAATGCCCAGCTCCAAACAAGCCACTATCATCATAATCAGAATGCCTGCGCATTTCTTTATGTGCCCACCCTATTCAAATAGGTGAGAGCCCTATCGCCATCATTACCGCTTAGTACTTCGCGCCGTTGTCTTTGTTTTCGTGGGACAGCTTTAACTAGGAGCTTGTTACACGGCTGTTTTCTAGCCTTTTAAGTGGTGGTTGACCATTCAAGATGAGCACTAGAAACAGCACGAAAGGAATGCTACGCTAGTGAAAAATGCGACGCGAGTGACCTGCGGGTTCAGGCCACCGATCGAATACTACACACAGTGCGTTGACAGAGCATGCACATGAGCTTAGCCGACGACCGACCAGATTCCTACGATTTGACACGAGAGGAAAACGGCATCGAAAGCGAAGATAATATTGAAACACCGTATGCGAACGTACATGAATAATTGGTATTTAACGCCAATGCTTCACCATGCGAATGAAGGATGCTAACGCTTATCAAGAGTTTATCTTTGATTTGATTTATTGTTTTCCATTTACACACAAGTGTAACATAGTGGCAAATGGAGGTGGGTGAGAGAAAAGCAGTCGAGCTGCCCACGTCAAGATAGATCGCCCTCTTCCACAAATAAATGTGCACTGGTTCAGTAATATTTCTTTTTTTTTTCTATCTCGCTTATTAGAGCACAACATGGTCGCGAATGTATACACAAGACAGGTAGGAGACTCACGAGATTGCGTTTACGATTTTTGTGCAAATTTTTCATACTTTCACTACGACAACTTTTTAAGATAACGAATGATCTTTAGCGGTCCCTTGAGGTTCGTTCTATCGAGATTTCACTGTACTTGGGTGTCGCAACAAGGCAATCTTGGTGCTCCTGCAATATGCGCTGGGGTGTGTGCCTATACGTGTGATGCGAGTACGGACGAGGCAAGATCACTTCAAATTTCCTGCAACAGCTCACTGTGATGTCACAGAATTTTACAGCAGCAGCTACTTTCAACTAGATTCTTCATGTGCATATAACTGTAGAGTCCAATCTCGTTATAGCGAACCTCAGGAGAAAAATTTTTTCCAAATTAACAACTTTCTCCGAAATCTCCCTCCAAATGTCCATTGGTATTATGTAAAAATATTTCACTACTATGAATTTCAAAATACCGAATGTTTCAGAATATCCCCTGATATACTCACAAGACTTCAAAATAACGAATAGCGGTTTTAGAAAGTTACTTGCGGCTCTGAAAATAATGCCCTGTTTCGTGCCTGTCACTATCTTCATCATGAGAACGCCCGGGTATTCCTCTGCCTGCTTCCTCTATTCAAATGTGCGACAGCCCTATCACCTCATCGCTCCATTGCCGTATTTTTCATCTGGCAGCTTTACCGGCGCACTTGTTACAGGGCTGTCTTCTAGCTTTTAAGTTGGTGGTTGAACTTTCCAGATGAGCTCTGGAAGCAGCATGAAAGGAATGCTACGCGAGTGTTAAATGCGACGTGAGTGACCTATTGAATGAAGTCGCCGATGATTACCCATGCATGCTTCACTAATGCTCGAACAAAATGCACAGTGCGACGACGAAGCATGCACGTGAGCGTACCTGACGGCTGATTTGATCCATACCACTTGCGTGATGAGGAAACGACGACGAGTGCAAAGACGACGTTGAAACAGCGCGCACGCACCAACGTAAAGAATCGGCATTTAACACCGATGCTTCGCAGTGTGTAAAAAGCATTTCAGCAGTTTAAGTTTCCAACACCAGGCTACATCGCACTCTTCCTCAAATAAACGTGCAGTGGTTCCGTAATACTCCACGTTTGTTTTTTCTCTATTATTAAAGTGTAACGCTGTTGCGAACGTATGCACAGCACAGGTAGGCAACTCGCGTGTTTGGGTTTACGATTTTCGTGCAAATTTTTAATACTTTCATAATGGCTTTTCAAGATAACAAATAATTTTCAGCAGGTCTTCGAGATTCGATGTATCGAGATTTCACTGAATTTTGTTCTAAGGAGGCTATGGCTCAAGGCGTCAAGTCTTCAAAAATTTCATTCAGTGAATGTGGTCAAAATACAAAAGCAAATGAAATTCACAACATCACAGTGGCATCCAGATGCTGTAACTTCTGCACGAAATTCTATTTGCACTAGAAGAGAAAGTTGGGCTAGTTGGTGGTTCATGCTTAGGATCTAAAAACGGCACAAAAAAGAGATAAGGAGTAAAGAAGAAACGACATAGGCGCTGATCTCACAACTAGTATATGTGCGTAATAAATGAGTTTGTGCGTTCCAATAAAGTTTTAGTTGCAAGTTCAGCTCATATGTCACCTCTCCTTCAGTGCTTGTCTCTTTTCTTTTACACTGTTTTTACATCTCAAGCATGAAATTCTTGAATGAAACTCTGGCTTACACCTACTGTTCTAATAGCAAACCTATGATCATTAAATTAAGGACACAACTGTCAATGATAATTTGCAGCATAAGCTGATTGATTGATTGATTTGTGGGGTTTAACGTCCCAAAACCACCATTTGATTATGAGAGACGCCGTAGTGGAGGGCTCCGGAAATTTTGTCCACCTGGGGTTCTTTAACGTGCACCCAAATCTGAGTACACGGGCCTACAACATTTCCGCCTCCATCGGAAATGCAGCCGCCGCAGCCAAGAATCGAACCCGCGACCTGCGGGTCAGCAGCCGAGTACCTTAGCCACTAGACCACCGCGGCGGGGCCAGCATAAGCTGAGTCAATCATCAAAAGGCAAATATCAAAATACAACTGTAACACTTTTTGACACACACTTGAAATAAATTTTTTCAATATAGCGTTGCAAGTTCTTTTTTCTCTCTCTTCTTTATTCGAACTCTTTTATATTGTGAAGTGTTGTGCATTCTTTTGGTTAATGTTGTGTAATCTGCACTTTGGGAACTATTGAAATACGATGTCCTAATGCATTGTTGATTTTTTGACAAACTAGTTTGTAGTTATTAACATGCACTGCAGCGTTGTTCTGAGTTTACTTCTGATTTTTACTGTAACCCCCCTTACTCAATGCCTTCGGGCCTGTAAGGTGTTTTTCAATAAAACATAAATAAAAGCCAATGTTCATGCCTTGATGCTGATGATACTCCGGATTGGTGTCGCAGGCCTTCATCATAAAATTTGAAATTGGACAATCTCATACTGCTGCCTGAAGAATAGCTTATTGTAAAGGTCACCACAATACGTGCGAGTTTCTGTAATAGCATCCGAAGAATATAATTTACATCAGGACTTCAGACTATGCAGCACGGCAGAAGTACTCAAAAGAGCAATCACTTTGGTGTGGTTCCCACTTTTGTTGCTTGTCTAGTCGTCCTTTATTTTTTCCCTCTTTTCAGGTGCTATTCATAAATCAACACTAACACCATGCTGTAAAACACTAGTTTAAGTAAGACCTGCCTTGTGCACTTGCTCCACTTTCCATCCCTCCTGTATTAGCTCTATATCAACTATAGAACAATCACGACCAGCTCGGTGGATCAGTGACTAGGGTGCAAGGCTGCAGACCCGAAGATCGCGGTTTTGATCCTGGCCGCAGCAGTCACATTCCGATGGAGTCGAAATTATAAAAGATTCATGTACTGTGTAATGTCAGTGCACATTAAGGAACAACAGACGGTTGAAATTTCTGGATACCTCTACTACAGAGTCCCTCTTACTATTATTACTAATTAGGAAAATCGCAGTGCTTGCTCAATAAATCATCACGTGGGATTTTACGTCCCAAAACCATGACATGAATATGAGGGACACCATAGTGGAGTGCTCCCAAAATTTTGTCCATCAGGTGTTCATAAACGTGCACTGACATCGCGCAGTACATGGGCCTCCACCATTTCACCTTCATCAAAATGCGACCGCCTCGACCGGGATCAAATCCACGACCTTCGGGTGGGCAGCCGAGCACCGTAGCCCTTGATCCACCAAGGCGGACATTGCTCAACAACTCAGGCATGCAAAAGAACCACCAGATCAACATTACTGAAGCTGCTCATTCCGCATATTAACCATCGAGCTTTCAGCACATGTGTTACCTCTCACAAGCAGGGATACTAGCCCTCACAGTCAACACACTGTAATCTGTATTTTGCCAAGACTGAACTCTGAAACATAGTCTTATTTTTCTACGTTCGTCCAGTGCCTACACAGCTAACCGCAGCAGTCTCTTTCAATTGATTGTCAACATGTTACGACAGAATTCATTAATGCATTTTAGTACGTTTACATGCCAACCCAGCCCACCTGGGCTTCTTGTCTACAGTATCTAACAAAGAAAGCCAAATGTATGCATCGAGAGGACATGACTGATGCTGAAAAAAACTGCTCCGCCTTACCTGGCCACCGTTCTGACGGTCCCATCCTGCACAGATTATGCCAGCCACCAGCTGATCACGATAGTTGTAGCAAAGCTCCCGGAAAATGTTGGCGGCCGTCTCCACCTTGGCTGGCTGGCCAGTTTCCATTCTTTGACGCAGAGAAAAAGAGTGCACCAGAGTTTCAAGCAAAAGCAAAATCACAATTCTTTGAAAGCATGCAATTTCACTAGCTAGAAAAAAAAAGGGCACCTTTTTTTTAAAGAGTACTGGAAATGTTTGCCTGGTGATTTGACTACACTGATAAAATACATGGTAGATATGATTGCGAGGCGTGCCACAGTAGGGGAATCTCTCAAATAAAATTGCTACTTAAACGGAGCGTCTAATATGATTGGGTTTCTACTTGGATTTTGCACCCCTGTTCATCTGTCAGTAAATGAAGCTCGTGTTAAACGAAACACATTTTCCTGGAGAGCTATTCTCGCGGTATCCGATTTGCCAGAGGGCATTCAGTTACGTAAAAAAAAACGGTAAGCCATGACGCGTTTCACAATGCCGGCGCACCGCACCCTCCAGCGCATCCTCCGCGTGAAAAGAAACTAAATCGATGAAATGCAGAGTAAGAGCACTTTTGAACAAACCTGAGAACTGCGAAAGTGTGTATGAACGTGTAGAGATGTTCGAAGAGCGATGCAGGAAATGCTTACAGACTTTTCAGGGGCGTCAGGCGGGCGGCCGCGTTAAACCTAATTTAAGGGCTAACGTGATCAGAGTCTATGCATGGCATCAGAGATGTGCGTCTATAAGCGGATCTCTGGGGGGCAGCATTCGTTGTGACGAAACACATTCCGTCTTTCTCTTTTGTGTCGAGAGTTGTGGAAACTGCGTGGCGTCAAAATGACGTTGCAGAAGAAATACCCAAAACAGGCGGCGCACTCCAGCTGACCAGGGGAGGCCGAAATGGACATGTGGACACCACGAGAATAGCTCCCCTGGTCTTTCCAGTAGTGTTCTATTAGTCACCAACTAGTGTTCCTTAACTATTACCTTAAAGGTACAGGTCACTTTATGGTACTTGCTTTCTTGAGCGCAACACAAACCTTAGTTGGAGTATTTAATCACGGATTGAATGAAAGAAAAATTTGAGGGCTCACTTTTTTTTGTTAGAGACAATGTTAATGAGAACAGTCAATCAAGTCAAAGAAAATATAGGTGATGTTATTTGTAGCAATTACGATATAAGTGTGAAGAAATAAAAGTGGACGAAAGAAAAGACAACTCGCCGCCGGCCCAGTAAAGCCTTCGAGTAACTAGAGCCCCTGCCGGTGGCAAGTGGTCTTTTCGTCCACTGTTTTAATTTCCTCACAACTTACATTGTATTTACTAGAAATAACATTCCCTATACTTTTTTCTTGACTGTATGTTGGTGCTCATGATTCCCAGAACAGCAATGTTAAAACACTATGAAACATATACGTAAAAAAATTTTTTTTGAACTGAAGTCAAATACACACAACACACGCTGTAAACAGTGGGAGGCAAATGCAAGAGTGCTTCATTTTTATGAGGTGGTTTGCTATGCATGCGTGTACTTCTGTGCATTTGTGCCGCGGCTTGACATGTTCTACTGATTGCTGCCCCAGCAATGCCTTTTCTCAGTGTTCAATTCCTTTTACATCGTAAGCAGCAAAGAACAGAGCAAGGATCAATAATATCATACATATTGTAATTCTGAGCACAAATGGTGCACATGAAAGCATGAGACTACGTACAGCAAAGTCAATGACTCCATAATCCAGCTTTGAATCTCTTCTGCTGGGTTGCACAACATGTTATATTTTGGTGATTTTTAAGTGCAGTTTAATAACACAAATTTTACTCAGATAGAGAAAAGGAACTTTGAATCTTTCAGAATAATAAGAATAACTGGGGTTTTTGTTCCAGAACCATGATTATTAGGAGGAACACCATAGTGAGGGGCTCTTAAAATGTTCATCCCTCTGGGGTGCTTCAACGTGCACGTAAATCAAAGTGCACGGGTCTGCAGCATTTCCCCACAATCTAAATGCAGCTGCTGTGGCAGTGATTAGATCTTGCGAACTGAGGATTAGCAGCCGAACACCTTAACCACAAGACCAAAACAGCGGTTTAGAATGACAAAGCAAAACAGGCGGTTCAAAAGCCTAATTTAAGCTTCGTTTTGTATTCCGAGCGTAATGTTACTGTCTGCACTCCTAAAACCAAGAAACCCTCAATGTGTCCACACCACCAAGGAATAAACAATAAATGGTAACTCACTCGTAGAAACTGAGGTGGTAGGTCACTATGTCTGCAATGGCCTGTGTGTCTGCAGCAGAACCCGAGCGGCAGCAGTAGATGCGATCAGTCACTCGTGTCAGCTTGTCGGAGACACGGTTGGCTACGTAAGCCCTGCAAGAATGCCACTCAGGTTAAGGCCATGATTTACCAGCATGCAACCATTTAAATTAACAAATGTGAAAAAGAAACACATGCCCCAAGTGATGGAAACCACTCTTTCGGTGAGAATAAAGTCGGCAGCTTATAGCCATAGGCAATGAGCAAGAGACGTCATCGGAACAATACACATCATCAAAATAATATGAAATGCAATACATGTGGCTTTTCATCAAAACCTCATTTTAAGGAAGATTACAGGTGAATAGAGATAGGCTGGTGACATTATGTTGTGACCAGGTACAGAATGGTGTGTGTGTTGGCGTGCGGGCAATATGGTGTGTTGCTGTTCATGATCCCATAATCATAAGATTATTTAAATGTTTCGCAGCAGAGCTGCGTGTGCTGGTGTAACATAGATCGAGACAGAGTGATCAGATAAAAGAAATTCGCAGGAAAAGCACGGCTTCATTTAGTGCAGGACAAGGGGCACTTGTGATCACCGGCTGCAAACGCAGCTCTGCTGCAAAACGTTTAAATAAGCTTATGATTATGGGATCATGAACAGCAACACACCATCTTGCCCGCACGCCAACGCGCACACACACACACATGTTGAACATTCTCAAGGATGGCTTGCGGGCATCAGGGATAGGGTTACATTCAAGCGATGTGATCACAGAAGCTTACAGTGTTTCCAGAAAGCTAGGCCACGCAAACAACATAAACTGATGTAGTCATGTACCTTAAATCGTTCTCATACAGTGAAGAGCACTTACACACGGGGTTGCTGGTAAAGTACTGCGTTCGCAAAATAGTCATTCCATATCCTTGCGAACCTAGGAGCGAAAGTAGATCTACAACGCGAGTAAACTCATTTTTGCGCCACTATCACTACGATTTCGGCAACTAATGCAACATGAGTCAAGTCATACTGATTAAGCTAGCTTTTAACGTACACTCCACAAACGCAAAACTCCCCGAAATGTAATAGACATAAGAAAATAAAAAGCATTTTAACTCAATGTACCCTGTGCTCGTCCTAGAATCCGCTCCGATCACGACGCCGCCATCGAACTCCACCGCAACCACAGTTGTCTGCAAAAAAAAAAAAAAGCACCATGATAACCAGTATCTCCCACAAATAACAAAACACGTGTTATGGCTCACGAGTTCAGGAGGCTAGCTCTGAGAGAAGTGCATGTCACTGCCAGCGCCGGTCACACCATGCACCCAGCACATATGAAACAAGCAATTCTTCTCACGAGTACGCAATCAGCTACACTAAAAGTCGCTCACCCCTGTCGAGTGCTCGGAGCTCATCCAGTCCGGGACGACGTCGCTCAAGTCAGGGGGTGCGAAGTAATTCATATCCATACCGCTTTGAGGAAACGAAGGATGACCCAACACATTTGTCATCGCCATTTTTAACGCTTGAAACTGATCACGATGTTTGCGCGGCTGTTGTACAGTTACTAGCCAGAACTCTAGCCAAAGCCACAGCCTCCTAGATTTTTTTTTTGTTTTTGCCTGCCACATGAGCGCGAGACGCCCATCACCTGTGGCGGCGCTACCTACGTAGGGATAATAAAGTCTCTGAAAAATAAACTAAAGTAGCGCCATTTGTGTCAATGTGCAGACTCCTCTCTCCTCGCGTGCATTGCAGATAGTAAACGACGCTAGTTGAGGGGCTGTGTGGCTCCTGGCCGCAAAGATGAGCTTGTGCTCATGTTTCCGTTAAAGCGCATCTAGGCGCTGCGGTTCTAGGCGATGCACCAAAAGAGTGATTGAGAAAGAAAAAAATATAAAAAGTAACGTTAAATACGACGATGTGACGTGTATATAAGCAAGTGGCATGCAGTGGCAAAAGACATCACCGCAAGCACGCAATACTCAACGCGATAGCCCACCGTTTGCATGCAGACGCGCTCAGCGGTGACGCTCTCGATGGCAGCGCCACTGCTGTTCGTGTAATAAACTTGGCGGTGCTAAGAATCAGCAGCATGACGCACTAGCCTTTGTGAAGGTATCGCAAACGCCATTTTGTTTGTCCACTTACGCGGTGTTTGTTTGTGGCTAGGCGTGCGCGCTTGGTATTGTTGTGTAGCCGGAGTTCGACCGCGCGTGAGTGTGTGCACGGTAATCCTGCACGTTTCAGGATGCCGACCTGCTGTGCTAGCGGTTGCAAAAGCAGGTACAGCAGAGGAAAGAAGCTATTTTCGCTTCCGCGACGAAAAGACAATGCCGCTCGGCTAGAAGTGTGGCTCCAGCGTATCGGAAGGACCGACTTGGACCCTGTATCGTCGCGGCTTTGTGAGGTGAGTACCGGCGAGCTAAACTCTATCGTTTCGCTTGTATTTGTGTTTACAGTGTTGCGGTACTGTCAAGCTCGAGCATCACACAATGAGAGTAACCGCGTCGATGGTAAACGTGCATGCCAGTTGAAACGCGTGCCGCGTTTAGTGCCGTGTAAACGTTGCGTCTCTGGCTTGATCCATGCCGACCGCGGCGGCTGCATTTTCGATTGAGGCGGAAATGTTGGGGCCTGTGTACTTATCATTATATGCACGTCATTGAATACCAGGTGGTCGAAATTTCCGTAGCCCTCCAAAAGGGCATTTCTCATAATCAAATTGTAGTTTTGGAACGTTAAACACCAGATATTATTATTATTATTATTATTATTATTATTATTATTATTATTATTATTATTATTATTCGTTTGATCCAGAAATAATCGTCGACTATGTTACAAAGTAAATGTAATGGATACATTCAAGTGCTAAACTAAACTTTGTTTATTGGCCGACGTATACTTAAATGACTCCCGCGTGTATGTGTGTATGGGTGTAAGGACTTTATGTATAAAGGCGTGGGCAGCGACCTGAATGTCGCATCATTTCGTTTAAGCATGTGCTCCAGCGTGCTCAGTATTCAGAAGCTCTGTGGTTGAAATAAGGACACGCAAGGCTAAATGGTGCGTATTTCTACATACTGTAAATAAAAGTTTATCCAAAAAAATAAAAGTTTATCCAATCCAATCTACATACTGTACGCACCGTGTGCTAGTCTGGTGGGAAGAGAATGTGGCAAACAGTGCGTAGTCGTGTACGTGTTGACACTAAAGGTTATTTTAGTTTCTTTTAGAGCGTGCTGTTTCATTGTGTAACAGTAGCCACGAATATTTCCTTACCTAGGACCATTTCACTGCGGACCAATTCGAGCCGATACTGCTGCGCAGGTTTGGTATTAAAAAGTTGAAGAGAGACGCGGCGCCTACGATCTTCAGTCGAGAGCATTTGCAAACGTCAGGTAAGCCAATCGCGTTAAAAAACTGGAGAATGTTTAGTCCGTCTTCATTGTTTTCTGCATCACCCATAATTACTTCTCAGCCTTTCACTAACCTGAAACATGTCGTCTTGCATATAGGTGTTGTGCACTGTTTGTGTATAGCTAATGGCTTTTCTTTGGTATAATTAATGCATTTTTTTTTCATTCTCCAGAATGCAATGATTCAGCCCGCTCATCTTGTGGCCTTAATCTACTACTAACAGCAGCTGCTCTTGTTGATGGTGAGTTGACAGTTAAGCACATCTCACGCCTTTTCCCTTTTCGTTATCATTAATACATGTTTGGATTATGCAGAAGGCAAAGAGACACACTGCCCATCAGCTACGAATCTGCTTCTGACACCAGCTGCTGTTGATGGTGAGTTCTTACTGCATTTATTACTTACCGTAATTACAAACGTGCTTTATGCCTTCATTGATGTTTTATAATTTGCAGGCTATGGAGCCAACAGTGATGCCACTCAAGCAGAGTTAGGTTCTTCACAAGGTAACGTAGCTAACACACATGCTGCATGTAGTCGAAGCATTGTAACGGCTTGTAACTTGTATCCATTGGTTTATATATTTTACAATCATGTCTGTAGGGGTGTGCTGCAGATCCACAACATTTTGCTCCGCAGTATGGTGTTCAGCACATTGCAAGCATTGAAAGCATTGTCGCTTGGGTTTTGGCATGCATTCTTATTACTGAAAAATTGTAATGCACCTGTGTGTATTGTAAATGCTTCAAGTAGTGTTGATGCTTGTTTGCCAAAATGCGATGTAACAGAGGTGATGGTCTTCTTCAATTTGTCTTTATCTTTTTTAGGTCACACTGCCACTGATTCAGCACCATCGGATTTTCCAGAAGGTAATGGCAGTGATATGTTGCTTTGAAATTTTACATAATTTATTGTTGATTTCATGTTGCAGATGCACCTTCAAGTTCCAAATGTGACGCACTGCCAGCTTGTTCAACAGCTTATTCAGCAGGTGAGTGCTACTTTTCATGATTTGTATAGGCATGTGTCTGCCAGATGGTTTTGTTGGTTCCAACTATCATATGTGCGCAGGTGTGGAAACCACCCATGAATCGAGCTGACAGCCATTTCAAGCTTTGACAGTGCCTGTTGAGTGTGAGTGAAATTTCTGTTCAGTATCATATACATTTTTTAATTTTAGTCACTGGCCATCCCTCATTGCCTGTGCTGCAACTGTGCTAATTTAAAGCTTTGGTGACTGTACCCGTCTTCAGTACTACTAATAAGATTATCCGTCATTTACAGCTCAGCAGAACTTTTGTGCTGCCTGTGGAGGATTTCTGTCCGCTGAGGGCACAGCTGATGTCACCGGTAAGTGTTCAGTGCTACTGTTCTTACACACTATGCAATATACACTTGAGTGTGACACATCGCCGCCTACAGGAAATTACGTGCACGCTCATAACAGATTGATATATTGGTGCATTTAATAGTGCGTATGCGCTCCAAGTACTGGTGCCCTGTTTTGTTTCTTTTGCTGGTATGCTCATTCTTGTAAAGTGAAAGTAGTCGCACACAACGTAAGTTTATTGGAGGAACATGTAAGCTGTGTATTGTGTACAGTAATGCATAGCACACTGCTACACACTGCGCAACATCATCACACTATCACTTGTGACAAGCAATCAGCTGCCGTCTTGTAGCAACTCTATCAAAAAAAGCTACAACAGTGGAACCATGGCGCTCTCCCCACTTTGTTTGAAATAGCCACCGCCATTGATAACCCTACGTCATAACCGAGAGTAGGTGCCATATATTCATGTCTTTACTCATTACTAACTATTCGCATAGCTAGGAGGTGGTACACCGGACACTTGCTGCTCCCAAAATGTCTTTCTGCCTTCACACGCAGAGTACAAAGTGAGACGTGACCACACTTGACTGTCCTGCCCCTATTTCGGATCAAGGACACGCCCCCACCAAAAAAATAGTTCAGCTGCATGCATTGCGGGTTCTGCGCAGCTCTATTTGTCCCTCTTCATTGAGCAACAGTGTCAGCCTATGCTGTTTGTTAAAACCACTGTTGTGTTCTCAAAAAGTTACGCTTACACTTTTCTGATGAATAATATGGAGTGGCACTGATTTGTTTTTGTTTCTTTAAATCCTTATGGTTCTCCCTCACATGCTAGTCTGGGTTAAATAGTGAAATTTTCAAATTCTTGTCACTTCCTGCTCAATCTGTGCTTTGCAGGCTCCAGTTCAAGTAGTTGGGATGCTGATCAAGCAGCAGTAGCTGCCCTTCACAAAAGAATAGCTACATTGCAAGAGTGCTTGAACAACATGAAGCGGAAAGTTGCTACACTGCAACAACAGAAAAGCAGAGCAAACCGTAGAAACCATGAACTCACGCGAAACATCAAGAAGTGCCTGTCACCAGATCAACTGCAAGGCATGTGGACTTCCAGTATGCGAGGGAAGCAATGGTCTACAGAGACTATACAGAAAGGCCTCAAGCTCCGTTTGGCATGTGGATCCAGAGGCTGCAATGCGGTCAGGGAGCTTGCTGTACCCCTTCCGAATGAAAGAATGTTACAATGTCGTGTTGAAAACAAGTTCTCACCAGGAATTCTACATGAGGTTCTGAAGTCCCTTGCTTTAAAGGTGAAAGGATGGTGTAGCTGAATATATTTGTTACATTTATTCTCGTGAGCATCTCTTTCAGCAGTACACCTTGAGCAAAAGGTGAAACCTTTTCCAGAGCCTTCCACTATGGCATGTCTCATGATCGTATCATGGTTTTCGCACAGAAACCCTAATATTTATTAAGCTTTCATGTGTTGCTAGTGCCAGTGTTAGTGGCTGTCACTGCGCTCTTAGTCTTGCACGTTTTAGCGGCCATTCATAAAGTTTCCACAACATATTCTCACCTTTCCTTCACTTATGACTTCAGGTCCTCTAACTAGGCACAATTCCACATAAATTTCAATAGGTGATAATCTTCTTGCATGCAAACATCGAAATACAGCTTGCACTGTGCACTGCCTGTTTATTCTTGAAAAGCATTGTATTTTAAATGTCTTTATTAATGCCTTTGTTGCCTAATGCATGTTGCATATTTCAGATAACCACCATGAAGGAGCATGAGAGGCATGCAGTTCTGATGGTCGATGAAATTCAGTTGAGCTCAGGGCTTGCGTTTGACCAAACGACTGGCACTGTTATTGGAAGGCCAACTTTACCTTTGGTCGACGGTTCTCTGCCACATGCTGCAGTGGCAACGCATGGACTTGTTTTCATGCTGGGTGGGGTTACACAAAGATGGAAGCAGACAGTTGCTTATCATCTTACTGGAAACTCGTTCAGCAGTGCTGCAGTTCAAGAACAGTTGATTGAAATTATTCAGAAATGTGAAACAATCGGGGTTCGTATAGATGCAGTCGTTAGCGACATGGGTGGTGGGAATATGGCGCTCTGGAGAGAATTTGGCATAGTTGTGGGAAAGCATTCTGTGTCAAGAGTTTCTTGTTGTCATTCTGTTGACCAAAATCGCAAGCTTTATTTTATGGCAGGCACCGCACATTTGCTAAAGAACTTGAGGAACCACCTCACACGTGGTCAATCGATTTTCTTTCCCGAAAATGTGGTCCAAAAGCACAAGCTGCCTTCGAATGAGGTTAACCTTGTGCCGATTCAGAAGCTGCTGGAAATAGACTTTGAACTGCAATTAAACATAGCACTGCACTTGAAACCATCCTTCTTGGACCCAGGACACTATGAGAAAATGAAAGTGGGGCCTGCATTTTCGTTGCTGAATCACGATACTGCAGCTGCACTACGTTTCCTGGTCCAGAGGGGAGATTTGCCCCAAGAAGCGTTGACAACAGCATGGTTCATAGAAACCATTTATAGGTGGTTCAAAGTACTGACATCACGTACAACGAAGCTTGGCATCAGCAAGTTAAATGATCAGAAATATGAGGGCTCACTGATTTTTTTAAAGGGTATGGTAACTCTTTTTACAGATCTGAAGATAGGCTCTCCATCGAAACACGTGTGGAAGCCTGTGCAGACGGGCATAATTTTGGTGTGTAAAGTTGCATTGGAACTTCAGCATTATTATCTTAATGAGAAGGGCTTATTTTTTGTTTTGCTCAGCCGATTTGCCCTAGATGCTCTTGAGAATTTGTTCTCTACTCTGAGGGCGAAGAATGCAGTATCAAAAGCTCTTCAATTTCGTAGTGCTATTCGAGCTGCTACTTTGGCACAGTTCTTTCGGCCCAGTAGAAGTAGAAGCTATGCTATCGACAATGCTCCTTCCCTAGTTGGCATCGAAAATTGCCACCCAAGAGCTCCTAATAGCAATGATACAGAAGCTGTTGAATATCCCAGTGATCTTCTCGACATAAGCATGATGGAGCATGAGTCTTTTATTTACCTTGCTGGGTTTGTGGTAAAGAGTGTTGCAAAGCACACAGGGATTTGTGAGCAGTGCAAAACTGCCACAGTGTCGAACGAAGCTAGTGTTCTCACAAAGTTAAAATCCTACACTGATGACAGCAAGCTCGTATCACCAGGTCCAGCAGTACTTCATTTGCTCGAAACAGCTGAGAATATGTTTAGAGTGAATAGCAACAAGCTTCTGTGCAATGAAGTTACGATTGGTCAACTTGTGGCCACCACTAATGACAGTGTGCAAGCTGTCAATTGTTTTCCACCTTGCCACAACATTCAGGAGAGGTTGCTGAGAGCATTTTTTAAAACCAGAATTAACATTCTTCTGCGGAAAGAGAATATGCGTTTGGCAGCTGATGAAGCTAAAGATGCAAAAACTGGTAGTCGTAGCATTGGAAAGCAGGCTGCTACAACCAATGTAAAATAGTGTGTATGCCTCATTTCTTTCGTGTTTTCCTTCCGTCATCTACGGAATGCAAAGTTCAGCATAGAAACAGGTATGCGGCATGCTCCCGGGAAGTTGTCTATAGGACCCCCCTTTCATGCGGTGCTTGTTATGTCGGAACGACCGGAAGGTGTCTGAACGATCGACTGCGAGAACACGCTAACAATTATGCAAACGGAAAAGATGTCTTTCTTGCTCAGCACTGCACTGAGTGCAACTGTGTGAGCCTTTTCAAGGACACAGCGACGCTGTACAAGCACAAAGATGGCACGCGAACAGGTGTCTTGCATTAGCATGCCCTTCGTGTCTCTGTCCGAGAAGGAACTAAGGTTCCTCGAAGGTTTTGGTGCACGCAAGTAGTTACTTTTATGTTTCGTTTCCATATAGACTTTTCTTTGCCTTTTCTGTGCTTTTGTTTTTTGTTTTTTTTTGTTTTTCCCTCACTCATGTTTTGATCTTTTTGCCATATGGTTTTTGTCACATGGTTACTGTCTCCTCTCTATATTTTCGCGCTCTGCGCAAGAAACTCAGTTTGAAGTTAGCGCTCGTGTCCTTCGTGTCCTTCTTGTCTCTGTGTCGTCGTTTTGTTCTCACGCTATAACTATCGTCAGGCTATACCAACTAGCCCAAGCTGCCTCACTTTGCACACGGTCTTTGAGATTGGCAATTTTGGTGTTTGCTAATTTTGGAGGCTGTGCCTTGTATTGAAGAAGTTGCCTGCTATATTAGCGCAAAACGCCTGTCATCTATAACAGCGTCATTTTTGTAGGGTTAATTATAATTACGTTTGCGCCTTTTTATAACGTTGTTTACGTTATTTTGACGTAAAAGTTGTTTGAAGACTCCCCTACTTAAGTGGCGCCACCACCACAGTTCCGACGACGGCCGTTTTCCAAGTGACCATCGATTATCCAGCAGACAGGAAAAATCTAGGAGGCTGTGCCAAAGCACTAGAAAAAGTTAGGGGGGCTAGAATTGAAAGGTTTGAAAACCAGATGCTCCAAGCTGGGCCCCCTTCAGATCCCGCAGCGGTGGCGCTGCAGTCAGAGGCGCTGCCAACTTGCTTGGTGGGTCGGTACTACTATACACTAAACGGTAGTGTATAGGTGTTCTGTGATACACTCACGTATATTGTTGGCACCACAACCTTGCTATGAATAGCGCATCGGCGTAGATAATATTCCTTTTTTTAGGGGTGGGGGGGGGGTCGGGGTGAGAAGGGAGTCGTGTTGCATTGTGGCTGGGGGAGGGTGGAACGCCCTGTGCAACAACCTGTTGGGTCGTGTGGCCTGGGAGCTATGGCAGGAGGGCAAGCATGTGCCCCTTATGCACAGCTCCTACCTCTCTGCCAAAGTCCGTGTACTCGCGTCGGTCATTGCTAGATTTTTAATGCTGAAAGAACTTTATTAATGTTATAAACAGGTTTATGAATTAACAAGACAGGCACTTATGCTGCACTGAAGCATAATTAACGGCATTGTTAACCTTTCGGCAGTTCATACATAGGTCAAGCAACCAGACATAAATAGAGCATCAATAAATGTGGGCTTGATCAATTTCGAAAGTTTTTCGTGTGATTTCGAGAGTTATTGCATTCTAGCATTATCACACGATAACCTTTGATAAATTGTATTGTGTCGTACTATCAATTTTAGCTTGATAGTGCGAATGGCGTTGTCCATTTATTCCTTACCTTTTAATTAGTAAAGGCTGAACTTGCATTACACTTGAGGTCGCGCCGGCACAGGGCCAGTACGCATGTTTTCAAACTTGTATAGAAATTGGGATAGCAATCAGGGTCATGGCTTCAACCAAATTTAATTATCGTGGTATTATGATAAAGTGCACTAGCGGATGTTCTTTTCACTTTTGCCTGAGTTAAATTTCCATGAAAAATGATCACTAGATCGTGATTTAAAAAAATTGACCGCATATTTTGCCAATTTCTTACACGTTTGACGCTGCCAATATCTGCAACACGCTGCTTGCAGAGCTACAACAAGCTGCCAACAATCAATAAGTGTGCGGTAAGCATGTGTCAGCCTGCTTTACATCATCTGCGTGGGAAGTTGTATAGTCACTTGGTTGGGTACAACAGCCCTTAAATATATATCTAAATATGTAGCTGTGTTGCAATGCTTTATGTGGGCACGATGCGTGTACTTTTGGTTATTTGTGCATGCAATACACAAGGTGATCATCACTGCGCTGCTCTATATACTCGATGAAACTATAATGAATAAAAGCAAAAGAAGAAAATATAACATTCAGATTAATGCACTTATAAAAGCAATCGTTCAGTTCTTTAAGAGCTTGACAAATCATTTAGCAATATAGGTGCTCGTGTTTCTGATACATGCGTGTAAAAACTTCTGCAGCACTTCTTCGGGTTCACTACTACATTTACCTTAAACCAAAATGTTTGTTTTTCCTCGATGACCGAGTTTTCCTTATCACTGCCGGATACAAGCCGGTGTACCTTCATATACGTTTTTTTTTCTTTTTGACTCCACAATAAAAAAATTATAGCTCTGCCAGCCTTGGGGATGGTAAGAAATCTATCAGCATGTCGGCGCATAGAAAAGTGACACCTTTTCCGTGCATCTTCGTTACCCCGAATTGCAGTGGTTGACACAAAACAGAATTCCTGAGTTTTCTCAATTCCGTAGATGGCATTCCTCTTTATGCACACTAACACAAAGTACTCTCAAAACCACGTGGAACGCCGACGAAGCTGACAAGATGCCGTCGCAGTAGCCTACGCTACCGTTTTCCTCCATGTTAGCTGGCAGCGCCTCCGATTGTCAAGTCACGTTTTGGCCTAGCGCAGGTATCGCACAAGCAAGCGTTTCCGGGCAAGAAAAACGCGATTCGCTCTTCACAACTCCCATTCCAGCCATCCTGACAAAGGGGCTAAGGTTGAACTATAGTGTACTAGAATATTCTAGTACACTATAGTTGGACTAGAGTTGGACCATACGGGACCACATGGTCTTGATCATCCATAGAGTTTCTTAATATACACTACAGGGAACTCTGGCGCTAGTGTCCATGGGAACTAGAACGCACGGCGCTTCGGCGAGCATGAGAATGATGGGTAGTACAAACATTTGTCTAATCTTCATACGTCTGGCCTGCTTTTGGCTGCGTGTGTGCTCGTGTGGCTTGGAGCTTTTTTTTTTTACAAAACAAAAATCAGCAAATGTTCAGCGACTGCGCTTCACCACTTTGTTCTTTTAGACTTACCTTTCCAAATCAGGTCACGAAGTTCAAAAGGGTTGAATGTTTTTTTCAAAACAAAACCGAAACACAGCAATAAACGAAGCCGCAAGTACGAAGACTAGGCAAATGTGTGTACTACCCATCATTCCCACGAACGCTGTACGATTGCAGTGACAGAGTTCCCTCTATTTTAGGAAGGTCTATGGGATCATCCGTGCTGAGGACCCACAGTTGCACGCACAGAAGCCACAAAAGCCTCATTAACATTTGACGGCCCCTTAAGGCAATTTCTTGATATTAACCAATTTCATTAAAATTTTCAACATATGTTCTTTTCAGTATCCTGATGACATGTGCTGAATTATACAACGGTAAGTCATCTAGTTTTCTTATGAGTTTTTAAAATTTGTTGTCTATTCCTTCAAATGCAGGCCACCCTGCGTGAGCTCGTATTCGTTTCTTCGTCGTGTTGCTGCTGAACTTACTATAACATCCCCTGTACCATGACGGTACTCAGACGACACCACCGTTAACTAGCTCAGGAAGTGCAGCATGAATCGAGTGCCTCTATGAAACTGCTTACCTGGGCCCACCTTTCGCAGAAGAATGTCTGGGGTGGAAAGAAGCGTTCACTAAAGGAGATTGGTGTTTGAAGTCCGACAAGATATATCATTTTAGATGCGAAGCAGCTCTTTGACTAGCCCGTGTAACGCTGTCCCTCCGTCCGCACCACGCTCCCCTGGCCACAGGTGTTGGGGTGGTGCCAAGTAGGTCACGCCTTCCCTCGAAGTGTGGGCGCGTTGACGTCATTCTCTCCCAGCCTCCTGCCGCGTGTCAACTCTCTCGCTTCGCCCTTTACACCGCTTGCAACGTTCGAGCGCACATTGGCGAACAGTTTTTCTGCAATGAAACTCACCCTAAACCCAACCCGCCTCCCGTGTCTTTGCGTTTCAAACAAACGTTTGCTCGAGTAAACTCTACACGAAGTCGACGCCCGTTTCAACCGGGTCAACGCCGTGCGCACCGCTACTGCTTCGCATCTCAGCAGCGTTCCCTTCGGGGAGATGGTACATAATTTTATGGAGAGATGGGCACTGATAAAAATCTGACAATAATTTCCTTGTTGGGCAATTTGGTGATGTATAACTTGCGACATACTTTTAGAGCCAGAACTCAGAGGGGAGAAGAAAAAACACAGGACAAGCGCTAATGGGCGGCTTACACACGCATCGACAAACTTACGAAGTATAAAAAAAAGGGGGGGGGGGGAGAAGAGGGGGGTTAGCTTTTGACGACAACAAGAAAAAAATCCTGGAAAAGGTTGTTCTGCGACTTACGTCTCTTACCTTTCTCAAATGTCCAATGGTTTTTGTTCTTGTTCGCATGAAGTGAATAATAAACTCTGAACAACACTCGTTAGTAAGTGTTCATTATATAGGTAAAGTATATTAGGAAGAAACATAGAGCTACTTTGCGAAAAAAACGTTTTATTGAATCTCGTAAAATGGTAACCAAACAAAAAGAAAACAAGACGATCATAGACTTGGTCACGAGCAGAAACTTTTTGGCATCACGACGACATTCCGGCTGAAAAGAAAGAAAAAAAATTGTTCAGAACAGAAATCGTTCAACATAAGTTTGGATAAAAACGCAGTGCTATGCCACGCAATATGTATGCTTGCACGGGCTTGCACAGGCCGTTCTGACGGACACATTTATCGCGAACTACCAGTGATGTAATGCATATGATTGGGAAAAATGAAGCTGTCATCGTAGTATTATTTTTACGGTAGTGACATCAAGCCAATCCAAATTTAACTGACAATGTCTAACTTACAGATTATTCAGGGTAATAAAATGAAGTAACATACTAAACTTGATAGCAGTAAACTTAATCCTAAAGTTGCCTTTTTTATTTCACTAGTAGGTCCCGTGAACACAACTGTCTCTTTTGGTTTGTGTCCGAAAAAAAGTCTCTAAATCGTTTGGACACTGACTTTGCGTAGCTATTGCACTGCGTGTCCATGAACATTGATGTTTCATTTGAGAAACGTACGCAATCTTCTAGAATGCACAAACGTTTCACATTTGCGAAATTACATACTTCTCTGCTTGATTGCACTATACGAGAAATCTAACACGGCGAACAAAGCAATGTGCCACCACCACCACCACTACTACTGCCAGTGGCGTGGCCAAAGGGGGGGAGTTACCTCCCCCGGAAATATTTTGTCCAACATCGTCCCCTCCCTGCCACTTATCCAACTTATTTCTTTTTTGTCGCTCCACACTGACATGATTGAGAAACTAAGCGCTGCTACTATCACAATATCATTGCTCG